GAAGTGTGACCAGTTGTTCTTCTTTGGCCTCGACCTGCTCCCTCAGCCGCTTTACCTCATCTTCTGAGGTCATCATCATGTTTTGTAGTGAGTCCTTTTCCTGAGAAAACTCAAATTCCTTCTGTTTCAGCAGGTTTTCTTTAACCTGAGCCTGCTCTGTTGCAGTCTTCAGTGATTCATTCAAACACTGCACTTGACCCTGAAGACTTTGGATCTCATTCTGTAGAGTCTCTGACTCCATGTAGTTGTTGGTCTTCATCTCATCTACCTCAGCCTCTTTAGTCTGGATTTCCTGCTTCAGTCGATTCACTTCTGCTTCAAGAACTGAAATTTGCTTCCTAAGCTCTTCACTCTGCAAAGTGCTTTCCTCTTGCTGTTTGGCCATTACAGCTTCTCTGGCTTGAGCATGGTCCTTGGCCATTTCAAGAGAATGGGTCATGCTTTTTATTTGGTTGTTCAGATCATCAAGCTCTTGCTGCAACAATGCAGAGCGTGTAGAGGCCTCAGTCTCTAGCCGAGCCATCTGTTTTTCCTTAGCATGAATATCTGCATTTAGCCTCTTGATTTCTTCTCGAGATGCTGTCTTCTGCTTCTCGAGTGCTTCCATATGTTCAGCACTTTGTTGTTGAAGTAGCTCTATTTGTTGGACATTCTCTTGTGCGATTTTATCCAGTAAGTCTTGCTTCATGTGAATTTCCTGCTCCGCCTGTTTGAGAGATGAACTAAGGTCTTCCACTTGAGCTGTTAAGATCTGGATTTTGTCACTGAGAGTTTCTTGCACATTAGACTTCTCAAGAAGTAACTTGGCAAGCTCTTCTTCTTTGGCTCGAATTTCATCTTTGTTTTTGTTAGTTTCATCTGTAAGAATGTCAACTTCATCTTTGAGACTGTTAATTTGTTGCTCTTTAACAGCCAACAGAGAAGTAGCAGCAGTTAACTTTGTCTCAAGATCGTTCACCTTTTCTTCAGTCTGATGAAGAAGATCTTCCTTTGCTTGCTTAATTTCCTGTAGTTTTTTAATTTCTTGTTCACAAGCAGCAATATGCTGTTGTAGCCTGTCTGTCTGCTCATTTTTTTGCTGCTCAACCTGCTCAAGCTGAAGCTTAAGGACTCGGATCTCTTCCTGAAGAACTCCCCTCTGCTCATGTATCTCCTTAATTTCTTGGTGGCATTCCTCCAGTTGCTGAGTTTTAGCATGAATCTCCAGCTCAGCCTTTTTCAGGGAGAAATGTGTAGTCTCTAGCTCATTCTTCAAACCCCTGATTTCAGTCTCCAACATTTCTCTCTGGCAATTTAAGAAGAACCAACAATTATAATCAATGAAGTAGAAAATAAAATTTCCAAACTTAAACTGAAAATAAACAATTCAAGATGTTTATCGCTTACCATAATATTTTATACATTTTTTATATTTTCAATTAAGTTTGCTTTTAAAATTGTTAGCTTTTACATATAATTACCTCTACTATGGGTCCCATATTTTCCCCAACTTCATCCTTACTGGCCTTGCTTATTTCATCCTCCAAACAGGAAATCTTTCCTTGAAGGATTTGAATTTGTTCTGTAAGGAGTTCCTGAGAAATGAGAAAGGGAGCAGCTTACAGTAAATTAATTTGTATAAAACCCAACATTTAATGAGATCAATGGAGAAATAAGATTACTTACAGTCAACACAAAACTAATATAACTACTCTTCTTTATTTATAATAAAATAGGCAGACATGAGCATTTAAATGTGCTTTTCTTCTGAGTCTTTAACAGACATGATGTTTCCTATTCATTGTCCTTTTTGCATTCAGATTTCTCTGAATGACACAGGAATGCATGTTAAACAATATCTCTTGTGAATCTACACCTTTTGAGCAGTTGCTTGGTTGAGCTCAGACTGTAGATGGTTTCTTTTGTTTCTCCACTCCTCCTGAGCAGACGCTTGACTTTCCGTCAGTCTACCAACTTCTGTCTCAAAGGCGGCAAGCTGTGAGCACACAGCTCTCACCTGAGAAAATTTTTAAAAAATAAAAAGGTTTTTCAAATCCATGTTTTGATCTCAAAACTGACACAAAAAACTCCTCAATACTTTAAAAGGTTTCTACTAGTGAAACACTCTCCAGAAACATGAAATGCACATGACCTTTACTGAATCCTGTCATGAGTGAGAATTCACTATCACAGATTTGCCTCAAAAGGTTTGGAAGCCATAACAGCAGACACGTTCATTAGATCTTTAGTGTAAATAAGAGACCCTCAAGAAAAAAACAAAACAAACAACAACTTAAAAACAAACAAACAAAAAAAACCAGAATATTTTGCATGTTATTACCTGAGAAGAAAGCACACCGTTTTCATCTGCAAGCTCATCCACTTTGCGCTCCATGAGTGAAGTGTTTGTCTTGAGGTCTTTATTTTGCTTCAGCATCTCATTAAGACGCTTTTGTAAGCTGGAAAATAAATAAATAAATAAAAAATTTACTTTAAAACACTTCTGTACAAAGGTCTAGAAGTACAGACTATTAGTCTGTTGTACAGAATGTAGTCTGTTGTTAGGGGGTTGCTAGGCAACATGATGACAAAATATTGTGTAACTTTTGTGGATAGAAATTAGATGTTATGGTTGTGATATTAAAATGATGATTTTATAGGTAGGGATGGGAATCGAATCCCGGTTCTTATTGAGAACCAGTTCCCACTGTTTCAATTAACTGGAAGCCTAGGCTGTGAATCTCTTAAGATCTCACTGTTAGGTTTGTATGGCCATGTTACTCCTAAATTTCTATCTTGTTCAAAGAGAAGATATAAAACAAAGTTATAAGCTAATCGACCTGTGTGTTCTTCTTTTTTAAAAACAAGAATCGATAAAGAATCAAGTTGTTAAACAGAATTGAAAAAGGAATCGGAATCGTGAAAATCTCATCAATTCCCATCCCTAGTTATAGGTTCATAAATCACTGTTCTTGGGTACTTACTCATTGTTCTTGATCTCAAGCTCATTAATTTGTTCTTTGGTAACATGCTCCTGATCACCTTGTTCTTCCTTTAGTTTATCCAGGCGGTACTGCAACTGGTTAATGCGAGACTCTGGGAAAGAGAGAGAAAGAAAACCAAAGCACGAAGCAAAGTCTATTGAAAACATGACAAGTATAAAAAGCTTAAATGAAAATGCAGACAATCTTAGACAAATATGAGTGGTGCTTTAACAAGAATTTTGCCATTTCTCAAGTCTAACAAAATGCAAACCATACATTCAACAGATAGTACCTCTTTGTTCAATGAGCGCAATCTTGCTGGCCAGCTCCCTCTCCAAACTATCTCGATAGTCTCGCTCCTTGATCATCTGTCGCTGCATTTTCCTCAGCTGAAATTTCGGTGTGTTCATTACATCCTCCAGAGGAGAACTGCTGTGTGAATTAAGCAGATCAGAAAGGTAAAGATTTTCAACGAAATGATGACAACCTGTGGATTTTCATCATGTATATTATAAGATAATGTAATACAAGGAAGTTTGGATTAACATAACCCATAAAACTGAATAAAAATGAATATTGCAACATAACCTGAAAATATTTAAGTCATATCTGGTACCTGACTGAAGAAGAAGCCACAGTTTCTATGTCCACAAATTTAATTCTACTGTTTCGGTGGAAGAAAGGAGACTCATCACCCAAGAAGGAAGAGATGCTTGACATATTGGTACCAGAGGTGGCTGCTGATTGCTCAAATATTTCTTGAGAGAAAGTCAAATCTGAGACAAAGATTGCACAATAGAGTCAAGCCAGTTAGTTTGTTTGTTTTGCTAAAGACTTCTTATTACAGTCTACCTCGGAGGGGAAAAACAAAAGTGACATATTTGTGACTTACGTTTTCCTCTCAGATGAGCGTCAAGTTCCTCGCTCAAATAAACACAACCCTCACTCTCCATCACAAAGGAACTAGTTAGGTGTGCTAGTTCCCGCTAGCAGAGTGGGATTAAATAAATACACACAGAATTAAAATAATAGCACAAAGCAACTCATGAGAAATGAGATGAGATGTATAAGTGTGACCACAATACACCAGCAGCTCCCAGCTTACCTCCACATCGCAGTCCAACATGTTCAGAGTGCAGTGGTCATTCATCATATCATGGTATACAAGCAACAAAAGCACCTAGTGATGTTGCAATAAAAAAGTATGATAAGTGTTTTCTTTGGGCCTTTGAAAAGAAATATGAAAAATAAAGGACGTTTTTTACCTTTGAAATTTCAGCTGTTAGGCTGATGCCATCTCTAATGTGGTCCCAACGCAGAGAAGAGCTCTTGCTTGCATTAAATCTGCAGTCCCCTAAACAACAAAACACACACATGCTCAGGTCAGTAATATATTAATCTCCCATTATAATAAAAATGGTACCAGTGAGGAAGTTTTACAGTGAGGCTCAGGAAGAAAAGCCAATGATCTTTAAACATGAAGGTCAGTTGCTCACATACTGAAGCATCCTTGTGCAAGACACTAAACCCCAAACTAACACTTATCCACTAGAGTTAATGTGTGTTATATGAATGAGTGAATTTGGCTTGTAGGCTAAAACACGCCCTGTAACAGTAGAAAAGTGTTAAATAAGTAGTAGTCCATCTACCAGGACACAATCTGGATCCCACCCAGGAATGCAGGGTGTGTCCAAAGGTGCAAAATATCTGTTATTTAAGGGAGAGAAAACAATGTGTTTAAAGTAAGGATGAGCTCCAAGTTCCTACATTAACACTTTCTGAAATACAAAGCGGTTTAAGCCCAATCAGACCATGAAATCCCCTTTGATCATATGTACTTCAGTCATTGGTTTGGAACAACATAAGCCTCAATAAGCTAAAGTGCTGTGATTCACCAGCTGGAGCCTTTATTACATATATCTTGTATTAATATCACACTCGTACAAAAAGACACTCTTTTAAGAAGTCTCTCCAGAAAGAAACTCACTTTCTAGAAACTCTGCAATGACTCTGAACCGATCCTCAGTTGCATCATTTAGACAGGGGATGGGCTGCTTTTTCCTAAAATGACAAAGAAAAAGAAGAAAAATATAATAAAATAAATGTCTGTGAAGGTTCTCAGTCATCCAGGTCATCGTAGTCAAAGGAGCTTGCAAAGAAAAGCGTCTGGACTTCTTAAGTTACTTGAAGACATTTCACCTCTCATCCGAGAAGCTTCTTCAGAGAGGTTCTCGGAAGCTTCTCGGATGAGAGGTGAAACGTCTTCAAGTAACTTAAGAAGTCCAGACACTTTTCTTTGCAAGCTCCTTTGACAATAATAAAATAAAGGTTTACTGCAAGGAAGTAAGAGCTCTATATTTTCCAAAAAGCACACAACCAACACGTTTAACACCCTGTCAGTCGCTGACACTCCCTGTTTACACAGGCTAAACATTACACCGCATTGCCAGCATACTTACAGCATATAAACAAGTCTAAGTAAGATCAATCCGTCCTGCAAGTCATCGATGGTCAGCTCTGAGTCACAGAGTTTTAAACTGTTCACCTATAAAATTATAGTTTGGAGAGAAAAAAACAAAACAAAAAAGGGTGATTAAAACTTTAAACATTAGTGCAATCATTTCACCGTAATGTCCACTAACATAACTCAACTTACCCAGGAAAGTAAAGACTTTACAGCCAAGTTCATCTCCATCTTGGCTGACCCTTTATTCAAAAAAGGGATTTACACTCAGGAAACTATAAAACAAAAAGCTATGTTAAATACTTGCAAGCTATCCAATTAGCACCGATTAACATTGTTGCACGACATTTTTTAACTACTACTACTTAACAAGTACCTGACAATAATATCTACACTATGTTTCAGCAAAGTTATTTTGACCATGATGTTTTAAAACACCAGCTGCCGACCTACTGTTGCGCCGAAATGGAGCTGCCAAAGGGTTCAGTAACGTCTATTAAGTCGAACGGTAGTAAAAATCGTGACTCACCTTAAAGGTTAGCAATTCTTGCCACTTGTACAGCAGTAGTCTATAGTGTAGCTTATTAGTGTCTGAAGACACGCCTGCCTGTCTACAGAACATAGAGTTACTGGTAGAAAATAAACAGTCCCATGTGAACTACCACCAAATTCAAAAAGAGACGAAGAAAATTGAACCAGCCAATCCGTTTACACGTATACGCGCATCTGAAAAATAGGCAAAGTTGATTGGTTTACAAAGCGGAAGTTGTGCTCGATCATTTCCGGGCAACACAGGCACTGCGGAAAAGTTAAATAAATAAATTACATCCTATCTCATTTTTAAACACTTTATTTGACCTCCATGCCAAGTGACATGAGTTACGGAAAACGGCGAAGGAGAATTTGTAAGGGCGTAAGAGAACCGCGGCGTTCGTTCGGCGTCTCATGTTGATGACGTTTGCCAAGGTGAAACTACAATCTTCCGAGGAAGGACTGCAAGCGCAGCTGTCAAAACGAAATGATGACGTTTTGGGTCACCATTGTTTAAACGTGGAAAACCCAGTGAAACATAGATCCTTACAATGGATGGAATAGAAAATAAATATATACACTCAGTGGACACTTTATTGGGTACACTTTGCTAGTTCTGGGTGGAACTACAGAAATACTTAAATGCTACCTGGCAGAAATTTAATTAGATACTGGAGTACTGGCCCAACTTTTATGTCTTGGATTAATTACATTCTCCATTTTGTAGACAAATTATGACTTGTAGAATAGCTGAGAGCCTGCAGGTGGCAGGCTAAACTATGATGACAATGTTCACATGACATTTTCTTTAAATGAGAGATTCGGCACAAGCTTTTACAGTAAACAGCCAGTGGGAGGTGAAAAACACATTTCTCAGCACTATAGCTATATACTATACTATTTAGTTACTTATGGTTTTAAACTACACCGTTTGACATTTTATTTTATTTTTTAATCTATTAGCTATTATATATTTTTATATTTTTTGGTATGATGTCCAGAGGTACCAAAGAAGTTCAAATGTTTGATAAAAGGGCCTGAAATCCAACTTTTCCTGTGATGAAAGTGACTGTTTTTATGTTAAGGTCGGACTCCTGTGACCCTGTGGGACTTATTTCAGTCAAAAACTAAGGACAGCTGCCAGTGACAGCTAAAGGAAACACACATGGCTTCAGCTGGTTAACCTATGACCTGATAGATGAAGTCCCTTTATTTTGGAATTGTGAATCTGTTGTTTGCCAGCTCTTTAAATTCATATAGACTGATATTTCATACCACACAATGACAGAAAAACACCTTAGACATATTTAAATATAATCCTAACCCACGAATTCTCAAAACAGAATCAGCAAAATTAGAATTGAGGTGGCACTGAACCTTGACTGACTTGGAAACTTTCCCAACCTTGTGAAACCTTAAACTATGACAAAACACTGCAGAGGCGTGGATTTGAGTGACAGAGGCAGTGACCTTTATTTACTTACAGTTTACCAAACCACACCAAGTATTAATGTACATTTAAACAATTCTACAAAAGCAACCAACAAAATGTGAACTTACACAATGTTATACCATGATAGTTATATTAAAGTATACTCTATAATAGATTAATATTAGAACTTTTATATGAAAATTTAAATCTGATGTAAAGCATGGCCCATCTCAGAGTCTTTGTTTATTGCTGAGTAACTGAAATTTTGATTAACCAATTCACTTAAAACACAACACTCGGATCTTATGTTGATTAAAAGAAAACCTGCACGTGACATTGCACATGACAATGATCACTTCATATATTTATCTTTCTTTGTGTCTCGTACTCCGGAAACATCAACATCATTTCCACAGGAAGTGGTCTGAAGCAGACTTTTGCATCAGGTCCTTTCTGCTGTCTGTCAAAAGTACATTATCACTGTTTGAAAGATATTTTTTTTAGTCATTTGGTTTCATTTGGGGGTTTTTTCATGACTGCTGCTCAGTTAAAATAATGGTTGTGTTAATCTGGCTGTAGTTAATATAAAGAATTTCTTCAAAGAAGTGAAACTGGTGGTCTTGTGGTTTTGTTCCGTGATGCTTGAACAGGTTAATATATCATCGTCAGGGTGCTGCTCACACTGTACAAGATGGTGATGAAGATGCACGTTGCCAGGTGGACTCTCCTTTTTGCCCTGTGCTTCACTTGTGTGTCTTCAAATGGTAAGTTTTTTGTTTTTTAAGAAATCTTAAAATATAATGTTAAAAATGTAAAAAAATTATAACCAGTTTTAATGTAATGTTTAGAAAATATATGTCAACATAAGTCTGTCAGGTTTTCTTCCAATTCTCTCTTTTTTTTTCTTTTTTTTTCTTTTTGTAAATATTTGACTCTACTGAGTGAAGAGCTGAGAATCTGGCCAATGAAAAGTACACTTAATGTATTTAGACCGTTAAACTATCACTTAACTATCATGTTAGGGTAAAATCTTCTATAAACTATCTTAGAGCAAGCTGGTTAAAACCAGTTGCAAAACTGGGACATGACATTTTAAAAAAAGAGAGACATCTACAGAATTAAATTAAATAATAAACTTGGTCTGAATGACCAGTGAGGGATTCCAACCAGACCTCAGTGCGGAGGTGGGACAATGTGTTTTTTTCTGACAGTGACACATGGCAACTTGTGTTTATTGCAGAAAAGGTGAACTCTATGTCATGCAAAGGTATTTGCAGAGCAAATTCACAAAATAATAATATTATTAAATATTATTAAAACTATTCTGAAAACGAAACAAGGTAAACTTCCAGCGATCTAAAGTCTACCAGCAACCTCTTTTCTAAAGATGAAGCAATCTTAAGATCACTCATAACACCTGAAGAAAACACAAAGGAAATGTTCAACTTTGGCTTAAACTTAACTAAACTGTTGTTTATCTGCATTTTAAAGAGTATATCTGCTTGATTTTTAACTTTATTTTAACATTTGCATAAAAGATCTTTTTCTCATTGATATAGTAACACAGGGTCATTTTTTACCTGTTTGTGGGTGGGCCATATAAGATTGTTAATGGTTTTAAAAAGCATGATTAAGGTTATCACTTATACATTATTAGTCTTTGTCACAATCACTTAGTTACATTTCAGAAATCCACATCCTTTAACGGAGTGACCTAAACTTTCTATTTTGTTTCATTTTTCCCTTTATGATGAAGAATCCTCTGAACATTTAGGAGAAATCGGTGAAGAGCACAGACTGAAGGCTCCACTTGGTTCATCTGTGCTTCTACCATGCAACATTCAAACAAGCAAGTTCAAATGGGTGACGTGGAACTACAGTGGCTCAGGGCAATTGCTCAATCTCTCATCAAAAGGGCACGTTACATTTTTTGACCCCAGAAATGGCCGAGTGAAAGTCTTTCCAAACCAGGGCTCAGAGGGGAACTACTCTATCAGAATTGATGATCTTGAAAAGGCTGACATAGGATTTTACCACTGTATACAGGAGGAGGGAAAATGTGTTCTAGTGGTGCTGGATGAAATAGGTAAGTGGATTTTTACTTGTAGATTTTAAGTTTATTCAATATTAAGCAGCGGCCTGTACTGTTTCTTCTGTCCTTGGATGACAAATGTCAAGACCCAGCACACACGAAAAGGACAAATAAATAAGTTTCTGTTTCCTGTGATATAGATCTTGTTAAACCGCAACTCTTCATGCAGGTACAAAAATCCCATGGCTGGTGATATACATCTGTGCTGGTGTGACTGCTCTATTTCTGCTGGGTACTAGTGGCTACTACACTTACAAAAAATGCAAAGGTGAGAATTGTTCTGTCTGAAATTTAAAGTCAAAGCTGAGTGTTTTAGTGATTGTTTAGGAGGCTCATTGTATATTGAACTCACTTTTTGATTCTGTTGTAGATATCCGTAACAACAAAAGCAACAGCAAAGTAGAGAAGAGTACGGTCATTCCCAGTAGTGCAGCTGCTCCGGGTAAGCAACAATTTCAACTCTGTGTCACTCCAGTAATGTTCATTTGTTCGATGTAAACTAGAAGACATTTGAAATTTGTATTCACAGAGAATAACGTTTGCTTTAAAATCATTTAACTACTTTCTTACTGTTTAAAATTGTATGACAGATGCATAAAATACATATACAAGTATCACTTTCATGGCTATCCATTATGTTTAATGTTCATGTGAATTTGCATTATAATATCACCAATATACATAACACGCTATACAGAGGTAAAACTACAAAACATGTCTTTATCTATCAAATCATAGACTGTGTACTACCTTTCAGCTGTTCATTTATAGTTTTAGAAAATAATTTGATGTTTTTAATCAATATCATTAAGTAACTGTTAGGTCAATTGTTAACCAACGTACTTTAAAGGTGCTATTTCAACCATTTATTCACTCTTTGACAGTTAATTGCATATTTAATTCATCCCTTTTTTGTTTGTGAAGCTGTCTTCATGTTTAGCAGAACCAAACAGAAGAGCTCTTTCAGTTACTCTGCTAATGTTTCACTGCAGGTCCCAGTGCCCCACCCGTGACAACAATCAACATACCAGTAGGTGTGCATGTACATGTACCACAGGCAGTAAGACCCTACACTCATGATCTTGTTTATGGTGAGTTTACTCATTTTTTTCTTCTCTTCCTCACTATTAAACAAACATTTTGAAGTCATTGTATATCAACTGAAAAATGAAAAAAAAAAAAGTTCAGTATATAATGTTCTCAAACAATAGAAAATGATGACCAGTTCCCAACCAGTGCTGACCCCACCAGAAGTAATCCACACGGAGCTGTGCAGTATCTGGACAGGACCCAGCCTCAACAGCCCGGTCTAAGCAGCGGTGGAATTTATCCAAATTTGGATCAGTTTCGCTTTGAAAGGGTGGAAAGTCAGAGAACCAAACATAGATTTCATTTAGGTGCTTAGAAAAAGTCAATATGCTTACTGCAGTTTGCATTATTGGTGACTTCTAAATTGTAACAGTGTGAAGTAACCATCTTCTCTTACCCCATTAGAGCTTTTCAGCAGATTACGGCCACCAAGTTTCAGTCAGCATTATTACGGTAGAATGAGCAATTCTAGTCATCTTTTATTTTTATAATGATGCTATCATCATTTCAGTTCTGTCTGATTTTGACTCATCCATTTTATTTCACAGTAAACCAACATGATCT